ACCAGGGATCTGTGGCTGGTTTCTTGGAACCGGACAGAACTTGTTCGGGGTAGGTGGGATTGGGTGCTAGGACCCCCCACCTGTGTATGAGGCCCGGGGCCATCTGGGGCACGGATATTGCTGGGGTGCCGGAGGGGTTTTGCTCGGGAGGCTTCAGGCAGGTTGCTGAAGCGCTCTGTGAGACTGGTTTTTGGCCTGTTTGGAGAGGTCGCCAGTCAGGGGGACTGTAAAGAGCCCCGGATTTGAGCAATTCGCCCTGAGCGGACGCCCTAAGCTGTGCCCAGACACGGCCCGGTCCGTCACAGATTGCTACCAGGAAACGCGCCTAGCTATACTCACAAGGACAATTTTGCTGCCCTGCTCCTTGCCCATTTGATCCACCATGGTGAGTTTATTGGAATCCTTTCTAACGGGTAACTTTTTCAAAAGAGGATTCACCAAGAGCATTAACTGATCCACTCCGTCCCAGTTCCGCAGATACATCTCTCAGGCTATGTCTACACTTCAGGCTTATTGTGCAAGAAGCTTTTTGCGGAAGAGATCTTCCACAAAAACTTCTTGCACAAGAGCGCGTCCACACTATAAAAGCACATTACAAAAGTGATGCGCTTTTGCGCAAGAGAGCATCCAGATAGCATGAATGCTCTCTCGAAAGAAAGCTCTGATTGCTCTTCACAGAATAGCCACCAGAGCACTTGTGCTTTTGTTGATTGGCTCTTTTTGCGCAAAAAATCCCTGTTGCCCATCCACACACACCTTTCTTGTAAGAACTCTTGCACAAAAAGGAGTCATTCCTTGTAGCAAGAGGAATACCGACACCACAAAAACCTCTCTGTTCTTTTGATTTACTGTTCATTTACTTGCGCTAAAATGCGCTTGGGGTGTGGACACTCCGCAGGTTTTTGTGCAAAATCCCTGTAGTGTAGACGTAGCCTCAGAGTAGGAACCAGCAGAAGAAACACTACCCTCCTAGAAGTCCTTCTCCTTACTGAATGAGACTGACATGCCTCTCCCCACCATCTTACCTCTGATGACTTTAAGGGCCTTCAAGATCTTATAAAAAGGGTAGCAATTTCCTTACAAATCCTGTTGGAGGATCCCCAACATTTCTTCATATACCTTCTCAGTGCAAGTATGCAGTGTGGCAAACTCCAGCTATTAACCCACCCACATGTAAATGAGCCAACAAAAACAACAACAGAATACTACATTCCCCCAGAGATTTGGAGCATTTTTCTCCTATCCTGTTCCCAACTCTGTGGTGGTTTGGCTATTAAGAATAGAACATGCAATATCTGTGTCGACACCACCTAACAGGGAGCCAAAACTACTGGACCTTTGGGATTACAAGAGCTACTCCTTGGACTTCTTGCAGTAGCCAATTCTCAAGTACTGGTGGCAAAATATGATTTTACAGCGTGTTCAAAATTCTCATCATTTATTGAATGCCTGCTTCTGCATTAGAGAGAAAAATTTCAAAACTTCCTTACGGAAGACTAGACTGTTGCCAAGGTATCTCTCTACTCAATGCTGCTGGCATAGCTGCAGCTGTTACCCTACCCTTCCAACCTTATGGGGATTGTCTCCACCCTTTTTCACCTTTCTGGAACACAGCCTCATACAGATGCTCTTCTACAATCTACTCCATCCAATTCAGCTTCTTACTACTTCCCCTACCTGTCCCTCTTAAGGAACCTTTCTCATTAAGACCTCTTAAGTTAGCAGAGAAAGTCCCTCTTAGCTCTGGGAGCAATCAAACATGTTCCACTAGACTTTGTTGGGAAGAGTTACTATTCTTCGCATATCTTTGTCCCTCAGCAGCCTATCTTCACCATATGGGTACAATTGTTTTCCTCTACCTGGATGACTGGCTTCTGAAATGTTGCTGACAGACAAAAACAAGAAAAGTCCTATCTCCATTTCATTTAATGGATGTCTGCCTCAATGTGGAAAAGTCTACCCTCATGCCCATTCAACATAGAGATTTAATCAGGGTCACTATAGAGTCTTCTTCTTGCAGAGCATATCTATCCAAGGACGGATTTCCCATATTGACCAGATTTATTTCAACAATTCAGCAGAGCCTGTAATCCACAGAATGCTTACAACTTCTGGGTCATATGGTAGCCTCTATATTTATTCCTCCATTAGTAAGATATGCTCGGTGTCTTTAGGCCTAGTTGAGAACTGTGTCCCTCGTGAGCAAACATAGTATCCAATGTCCTTATTTCTCTATGTTGATGGAAGGCCCCACAAAAGTTGGGTGTGGGAGTTCTGTTTCTACAGCTTCCTCCAATGAGGATTATCACTACAGATGCTTCCTTGATAAGTTAAGGTACATACTCCCAGAACCTCACAGCTCAGGGTGAATGAACCCTTCTTGTGGTAACCCTCCATATTAAAAAAATGGTGAGTAGAGTGGTTGCTTATACTTGCCTACATGTTCCGCTCCATATCAAGGACCCAATCAGAATAAATTCTAGTCAACAAGGCAGCAATTTATTAGAACCATTGACAAAAAGGTGAAAGATCCCAGTCCTTATTCACTGAATCCATAAAATTGTGTAGTAGGTGCATATTACATCACATATACACTTCTGCTGACAAAAAGGTGGAAGATCCCAGTCCTTATGCACTGAATCCATAAAATTGTGTAGTAGTTGCATATTACATCACATATACACTTCTGTGGCTTATCTGCATTTCTACAGAACAGTGTGGTAAACTCCCTCAGCAGAAATTTCATCATCAGACATGAATGGGGAACTGAACAATGAGGTATTCTGATAGATGGAGTAATCTGGGGATAGATCTCATTACAATGCTTTCCAATGCAAAGTGTAAATATTTCTGTTCAAAGGCTGGTGAGGGCACTACTTGACTGCAGGTGCCCTAGTCACTATCTGGCTATGTGTCGTACTTCCAGTGCTTCTGTTACTCAAGTTCCTAAACATTTTGCATTCTTAAGCAAAGGGTTTTCAGGTTTCACCCACTCCACTAACACAAGATCTATATCAAGGGCTTTTTCAGTCTTTTCCCGCCTGTCTGAGAGCCAGCTCCTCTGTGGACCTCAGCTAAGTTCTCAGTGCTCTAAGGAAACCCCATTTGAACCTATGGAGAGTTGTTTCCACCTTCGTTTTTTTCCTCAACACTTTGTTCCTTGGACAGCTCGGAGCCTGGAGAGCTGGGAGAAGGCTTGAAAGAAGAGGTGGGCATGAGGAAGGTGGGGATG